CTGTGGTCTAGAACGAGTTCATGTGTAAGAAAATGTTTAAGTCACTAACAATACACTGATTAAAAAAAGAAAATAACTCACATAGACATAAAGCATATTTTAGACTGTTTTACTGCAATTAGTATTAATGTTAGATGCCATGACAATTTTATCTCTGTTGTCATCATAGTAGATATCTTTGCCATCCACAGAATAATCTTGTCCTTCTGCCTCAGAAGTAGTAATGTCCACTTCTGTTTTATACCACTACAGAGAAATAGCCAATAACTGAAATGTATGTTTGTACTTTTGTTTTTCTGAGTGCGACCTTATTTTTGCTTCAAGCTTGTGTTATTTTTGCATGATCATGTCTGTGTCTTTGTTGTAAATACTGTATATATTTTGTACTTCAAAACAAAAAAAAATTATATAAATTCTTATTTAAATCAGTACAGACTTGATAAAAAGTTGAGCAAATTTAAGTGCTATAAATTCTAAAATATTTTCTCAAAAGGGTACAAAATTTTATTAGAGCAATAAAAACAGACATATTAAAAGAGCATTCATCACAAAAACGGGAGGTAACAAAAAGTATATATTATCATAAATAAGTAATATTGAAATATAATAACTAAAAAGATATAAAACGTTTTATTGGCCCTCTTTTCAGAGCGAATAAATGACTGAAAAATACCCCAGATTAATGCTGTAGATAATCAAAAAATAACATCAGTGGTTAATTACCTTTAGGCCCAGCAACCACTCTTTGTACCAACAGAGAGATGGTTGGGAGGACTTAATGTATATTGATTCTAAAACCTTGAAGCGATAATTGGTATTAGCCTTAAACAGCATTGAACTGACGTCCTGGCTATAAAACTCAACATACTGCTGGTTTTTGATAAAATGTTTGTTGAACCCAATACATTACTTGTTCATATGTAAATTATTCACCTTACTCTTGTGAATATTGGCTGGTTTGTGTTGGTTGATCCATGCCTCTGATTCAGTTCTGACTACATAGTCACCATTGCAGTGACATCTAAATTTGTAAATTGCAGAATTAATATCCTTTTGAATTGGTCTCAACATAGGTCAGGTACCAAAAAGAGTATGTGAATTAATGGAAAAATAATGACTTCACGCAGTAACTAAAATTTGCTTGGCAAATCTCACACTCTTCAAATTCTAAAATATCGATTATTCGATTAAACACAAGAAATGTTTTTTCCCCAGAATTGTGTGTCTCAGAGTTAGGTGTGTGTATTATAGATGACTAATTATGGTAATCAATACATTTAGCAAATAGTTTCTCAGGTTTCTTTAACTCTTTCCAAAAAACAAAAATTGTTTTTTCTAGAATTTTGTGGCCGAAATTTTAGTATGCCTATTACATATGGCTAATTATGGTAATCCTCTGTGAATATATATATATATATATATATACACTGAGTATATTTATATTTTTTGTATATTTATATTCTTTGTATATTTATATTCACCGAAAAATCCTTGGTGAATATATATATATTTTGTATATATAAAAATATATACATATATATATATAAAATTAGCCATATGTAATAAACGTACCAAATTTTGGTATGCCTATTACATATGTCTAATTATGGTAATCAATGTATTTAGCACATCATTTCTTGAGATCCATTAATCCTAAGCAAAAATACAAAACAAATGTCTTGTGTTTGGCCATTGACATACCAATTTGTGGAAATTGGATCACCCCCTCACCTCTCTGGATTTTTCATCGCTCCCTTGTATATGTATATATGTAAATATATGTGCAACTGATACATTCAGCTAGAATTGCTACACATCCGATAGCACCATTTAATTTGATGTCATGGTAACATAAATTTGAAAGGCTTAAATGCATCAACAGCAATTAGCATCCCTGATAGCAGATGTTAACAACCATCCTGAAAGTTTACAGTCATCAGATAAATATAGACTCATGTATAGAAACATGAAAAATTATTTTTAAAACTTTTGCTGGTCATTTATAATTAATCTTGTTCAGCTAAAAATAAACTGTCAAAACATATATATATATATATATATATATATATATATATACCGGTGATATATATATATATATATATATATATATATATATATATATATAGGTGATGTGTGTGTATATATATATATATGTATAACAACTGTGTGTTTATATATTATATATCATAATTAAGTAATTCATTGAGTCTAGAAGAATCCTTGACAGAATGCAGAAAGCACTGGATGCTCATTTTGTCCTATTTTGGGATTCATCAGCAGTGTGCATCCACTACCAAGGAACAAACCTGGACTGTTATGATACAATGCAAGCGTCATACCCACTGGATCAGCAGGTCTCAGTGATGAAGAGGTAACTAACCAGACTTGATATAGCATTGCTCTTCATAAATTCCGTCATGTAACTCATCCAAGTATACTTGTGCTCCCACGAGTCATGTTCTATACTTGAATTACTTAATTATGATTATTCAAATTCCCCTAATAATTTCTATCATATATAAAAGGCAGGATGTGTATATGTGTGTAACGAATGCACGGCCACAATTTTCGATGGATTTGCACCAAAATTTACATGCACATGCTCCAAGTTAGTGGGAAGGCCAAGACCAACCTTGCATTTCCCAACTCCCATCAATAGTGGAAATAATCGATTTTTTTCATGCTTCTATGGCAGTTTTCATGTAGTTTGCAGCCATTTTCTACTGGCCAGAGTGAGAGCCTATAGCTGGCTTCCACAAATAGGCAGGAAGATTCTATTGGCCAATGTGAGAGCCAAAAGCTGACTGACACGAATGTTAACTAGCATGCTAGCATGCAAAAAAAATCGATAGCTGCATTCGTCACAAGTGGGAAAAATTTAAATCTGCATGGCACTTTACTCCAATTGGCTCATTCGCTTGCTTAAACTCAATGTTGATTCTGATTCCGCAGAACTGGGTTGGGCATGAAAAAGTATTTGTTGTTAACATTCTTTTTTCATTTGGTTTTTCCAATTATGAGTCCTTTTTTAAAGCTGATTGTTTTGTGTTCATTTTGTTTGGTCCTTTTTAGTAACAGATTTAATGTTTAGTATAGAGCTTAGAAAAAATTTGCAGTGTGAGATAGGCAAGAAGTAAGGCATGTAGCAACATCAGCACAGCAAAGAGCACTCCTTTAAAGGCAAGGAAGGGCAAAAATATTTTAAGTCAAGTGATAGCGATTGCTGTATGAGTCGTACGATTTTTTAATCAAGCACAGGCAATGCCGGGACATGCTGCTAGTATATATATATGGTGGACTCTCCCATCATATTCAATTTATGAAGGTCAAGCAGTTCAGTTCCTAGGAACTGACAGCCAAACACCAGCACATATAGAATATGATATGTGGGATTAACAGTTACTTGGGCCTTGTATTGGATGAAAATTTAGTAACAAAAAAAAAATCTCTTTAACAAATAAAAATCTTATATTTGATCTGATTTTGTTTTGATTCAAGAAATTTTCAGCCTTCCCTCCCCTTGGACCTGAGCTCAAACACAGACTTTTGGCAACAATAGAAAATTGGCTGTTGTAAAGTTAATTTTAAATTTTCATTCATTTACGTGATTCTTTTGTACATGTGGATATTTTAAAAACTAATTATACAAAAAAAAAAAACTTTCTTTTTTTTTTAATATAAAAAGAACAGCTACTACCCATTGATCAAAGAAACAACAATCTTTTTCTGTTATTAACTATAAAATTATTCACTTGAAAAAGTCAAATGGGAGTTCAAAAGATATTTCTTAGTTTTACAATCATCAATACTAGAAAGCGATATAACATTTAGTGGACATGAGGAACCTATTTTTCTAAAAAAATGATTTTATAAATTTCCACCAACAGTTAGTATGAATGCTGGTTGAAATTTATAAAATCTTTATCTTAAAATAATTTTTTAGGAAAATAGAATTCTCAAGTCCACTATATGTTATAGCTCTTTCTAGTATTGATGATTGGATGCTGAATGTTTCCTGTAAAGAAATGGATAATCTCACCATTAATAAAGGAATGAATTATAAATGATTTTACTATAAGAATGCATTGGAAATGATTTTACTGTAACAAAGCACTGGAAATGATTTTATTATAAGAATGCATTGGAAATGATTTTATTATAAGAATGCATTGGAAATGATTTTATTATAAGAATGCATTGGAAATGATTTTACTATAAGAATGCACAGGAAATGATTTTACTATAACAATGCAATGGAGATGATTTTACTATAACAATGCACTGGAAATGATTTTACTATAAGAATGCATTGGAAATGATTTTGCTATAAGAATACATTGGAAATGATTTTACTATAACGATGCACTAGAAATGATTTTACTATAACAGTGTATTGGAAATGATTTTATTATAACAATTCACTGGAAATGATTTTGCTATAATACTGCATTGGAAATGATTTTATTATAGCAATGCATTGTCATACTAACTGTTTCATCAATGAATGCTGAATGCTTCCTGGAAGAAAATAGTTAATTTCATCATTACAATTGCATATAAGTTACATTAAAGACAGGGAACTATTATAATATTGGATTAGAATTAATTCTCTGATGACAAAATAAAATCTATCAAATATTTTCTTTCTGTTATTGTACATTATCAAAACATCTCATAGTTGACATTCTCTCTTTCTCTTTTTGACTGTTATTAGTTTTCCTGGTGTTCTCCCCATTCTTAGTGTTTCTCACTAAAATTTTGTTGGTGATGCCATGAAACTAAAACTCCCTTAGGAAGACAAACAAAATTAAAACTCTAAAAAAGATTTCACTTTGAAGTGACAGATTCAAATTCAGAATTTCAATATTTAGTTTTAGATTTAATTTCCACCTCTGACACTCAGGCAACAACCAATGCCCACAACAAAGAAAAAGACAAAAGCTATTTTCTCCAGCATACTCTTTCTTCTTTTTATTTTGTTTTTCCTCTATTTAACTTAGTCATTTTTATTTTTCTTACTCTTTCTACATTTCTTTATCTTTTCTTTCTCTTCTCTCCATCTCTTTTTCTCTCTTTCGTTGTTTTTCTTACTTCTCAGTTCTCATTTTTTTCTTTCTTCTCTTCTCTCTTGTTCTTCTGTCATTTCCTTTTACTATTTTCTCCTTTTTTCTTTTTCATTTCATCTTTCATTTTCTCAGTTTCCCTTCATTACTTTTTCTTTTTCTTCTCTCTTCTTTTTTCTTGCATTGCGTTTTTTTGTACTTTTCTGTTTCTTTTTGTTTATTTGTATCATTTTATATTTCCTTTGTTTTCCTTCCTTCTCTGAATTTTTCTTTTTACTTCTTCTTGCTTAAAATTTTTAATTTTATCCTTTTTCCTTTATCTCTTTACTCATCTTCTCTCTTTCTTATTCTTTTTGTCATGTTTCTTTATTATCTTCATTCTCCCTTTTTTCTTTCATGACTCAGACTTCTGTTTCTTCTTCTTCTTTTCTTTCCTCCTCCTCTTTTTTACATATTTTTATCTTTTGCTTCTTATTATTATTTTACATATTTCATTCATTTCCTTTTTTCTTCCAAATCTCCCACTCTTTTTCTATTTCTTTTTCTTTTCTAACATTTCTTCTCTCTAATCTATTTTTCTCCTCACTCTTCTGTCTTTTTTCCATTTTACCATTCTTTCCTCCTTCAACTCCTATCCTTGTTCCTCTTTTATTTCTCCTTTCCTATAAATTCTATATTCTAAAAATTTCTTCTTTGTTATTTCACTCTTTACTAAATTGTTCTTTTCATCTCTGCTAATTTTATTTCAAGTTAAAAAAAAATTTTAAAAATAAGTACAGATTTCCACACTGTCAGTGCTGTAATTTAAAAAAAAAAATCTTAATCCATGTGTTCTCCCCCCATCTTTCTATGATCTACCACCTTAAACAAGGTTAGGGTTGAAAGAATAGGATATGAAATAATGCAACCCCCTAGCTTTGTGCAATTCGATCATTTTGCTAAAACCACACCACATCATTGCATTTTTAAATTAAAACTGTAAAGAAAACAAAAACTTTAAAAAAATGCATTATTAGCAAAACCAAGAATAAAAAGACACATTAAAAAAAATAAAAATTCATTAAGACCTGAAAAATTTGCATACTAATGAAGAACAGGTTTCAACAGAATTTTCTATGCACAAACATATTATAGTAGTAGCCAATAAGCCTTTTGGTAGAGAACTAGTTGGTTGTCAGGCCGAAGGTATTTTGAGCACTCTGGTTGGTAATGAAACCACAACCCTTACCTTTTACAGTTTAATGAGTTAACTTGCTAATATATGGTCACAACTGCAACCAACAAATATCTTTCAGTCTTTCTTTTTCAAATTAAAAAACTAAAAGTTAAATAAACTCTTAAAAATTTAGGGGTGGAGCTAGTTTTCTGCAATCAACTTGCATCTGCATAATTTTTTTTTTCTATGCCAAGGCAAAAAGCATGAAAAATTTAAATTAATTTTAGTAGAAATGGTTTTGTGAAGAATTTCTTTTTTTTTTATTTTTGGTTTCTATTTTTTCTAAACAGAGTAGTCATATATTTTGTTTAACCATTATTTTAACGCCATCCAATCATTCTGCTCTTAAAATGCTACTGTTACCTTTCTCTCCTGCCCCCAAAAATACTCTCACATGACTAAAATGATAAACTGCCTCTATAAAATCATCTGTCTGAAAATTTTGCATAAAGATATTTATTTAAGTTATAGAAAAATTGTTTTTATATATTTTGGTTTTCTGTTTTGTATATGTGTGCGTATGTTTGTTTTTACATTAATCCAACCATCCTTTCATGTTTCCTAAAGGGCATAAAAGTTTGTTAGGATAAGATACCTGTGACTTCTCACATCTGCACATTTACTGGAAAATGCCCTGTAGTTTTTATTTGTTTGTTTTATTTAGTATGTAATTAATAACAGATTTCCATAGTATGTAATCAATAATATATATATATATATATATATATATATATATATATATATATATATATATATATATGTGTGTGTGTGTGTGTTTGCGTGATTAAATTTTGATGTGAATCTAATGAAATGGTAAATATATCTCATATATGAAGATTTGGAGATCTCTTATTTTGACATGATTTACTGGTCAAAGAGTGTCATCAGAATAATTGATTTTATTTCTACCAAATCTACATTGCTGAGACAGAATGTGATTATATATTTTCCAAACTGTCTTACATATTATATACAGGTATACCTTGGGTTAAGTTGTTTTGAGTTAAGTCATTCTTGATTATACATCGTTTGTCAAAAAAATATATGGAAAAATAAAAATCAAGTCATTTTATTTGACTTTATGTCTGTTCACCACAAATATTGAAGTTGTAATATCACTAGAAAAGCATTAAAAGCACATAAAATCATGTTACTGTTCAATAGATAAGAATAAAAGTATATAAAATCATATTAAAATGAGAAAGATGTAGAGTCTATAGCAAGTCAAGGCTGGTTTATGAGATTTAAAGAATGAAGAAATTATCACTCTATTAAGAAGCAAGGTGAAAGTGCATCAGCTGACAAACAAGCAGCAGCTGATTTTCCTAAATTATTGGCTAAGATCATCGAGTGCCAAGTGTTGCTGTAAAAGGAAAAATGTATCTCCATAAAGTTTGTTAGGAGACAGGAGCTTCAAGTTTTCAAAATCTTCCAGTTTTTAAAACTTGATAAAACATGTTTGATGAAGCCCAGCAAATGATATGGCACCTGAAATCATTACTTATTATGAAAACTTCAGATTGGACTTTAAGCAACTTAGATTCTGCACTTCTTCACTATGTAGCAATGAAAGTCATTTATTTTGTCAGATTAAATATTTATGTATCACATGTATTCTCTGCTGAAAGTAAAAATCTAAGGCCTGTCTAAAGCTTGTTGATAAAGAACTCAGTATGTAATGCAAATTTGTTATCTGACCAATAGTGGTCATCTTGGGTCCTTATTTCTAGCAATTAGAGTTATGTGCCTCTAGGAGCTGTTCCAAATATTCATGTGTGTTGGTGACTGTTTAGTGATCACTGGTGTATTCCAAACCATTTGGTGACTGTGTTGGTGGCTGTTTGACAATCATTGGTATGTTGGTAACCATTTGGCAACTGTTAGTATGTTACTGACCATTAGTTTTGGCCAGCAGTGACCTTGCACAAATTCTTTCAATTACACACTCTTCCATCAAAACTCTGGATCCTTGATTTCACCTAAAAAGATAAATTTGAACTATGGCCCAGTTCTTTTTCTTCTTAGCTCAGGTTGGATGCTTCTAATGTTATCTGTGGTTCAGGAGGGACATGACACTTGTAGTCCATTTCCATATATGGTAGCTCTTGATATACCAACTCCAGCTTCAGTCCATTCATTGGGAATTGGTTTTACTTAACAATTCATCCCTGTTTTTTATGGTCTTTTTTCTACCATACTTTTTTCTTTGGTTCAACTTCCCATGAATGTGAACCCCCAACCCTTTCAGCAATGACTGTCTATGACTTACCCTCCTCAAGGTGCATATCAATGAATGTTTTCTGGACAACTCACAAGTCAGCAGTCATTCTCTATGATTGTAAATATAAAACCAGACAGAGATGCATGGGATTTATACTGCTTGGTGATTTTATCAAACTTTAAACAGAATATTCTAATATTTTGAGATTATTTTTATTTAAGTTGAGAATAGATACAATTTTTCCTTTCCAAAATAAATGACAGAAAGAACTGTTCCATAGTATACTAATTTTTGAGATATGCCTGTATTTATATTGATATAAAAGTATTCAAATATATAAACAGCTATATATAATGTCAACATAGAATCATATGTAAATCAGTGCAAAAGTGTTTGCATGAATATATATTTATATGTGTGTTAATCAGCAGATCTGTAGGTATATTTCCATGAGATTCTGATAATTTGACAAGCTAAGATTCTTTTAAAATCATTTCACCGCAAGCAAGGCAATAAAGCCACTATGATGCAAGGTGTTATTGAGTGTTAGATAATATGAAAAAACAAACACTACTAAGGAGAGAGAGCAATAAAAGAACAGGAATGAGGAAGACAAACAATAATGATTGACATTGCATTGACTGGAAAGCAAGAAGCCAGAATAGAGTTCCATAAGTGAGAAGTGCGATAGACAAAACTATTAGCATAGACCTTATGATTACATCTAGAAATTTCAACTGTAAAATGATGAAGCACTGCCACCAATCTAGTACTGTGCTTAAAACACATAAAGTCTAGGTACCATGGGGGAAAGTTCATTAGAAGAATTACCATATAAGTATTTATTAAAAAAAAAGTCACAGGGAAGCTATGTTGCAGTGGTGAGAAAGTGATTGAAACTGAGATACCAGGTCAAGACCAATAATCTTGCAGCTTCTTCAGATTTTATCAAATAACTATATAAGAGGAGCACCAGACCAGATGTGGCAGCAAAGCAATGGTAGTCTTATAAATATGTAAGATAGATTCTGATGAGAAAAATTGTCTCGCACAACACAGGGAATTAACTTTTCTAGCAGCAAACCTAAAAGAAATATTGTGAAAACTGGTATGGAACCTTTGAAATTCACTCTTTTTTAATTAAAAAAAAAATTCAAGTTTTTGTTCCTCATACTGACATTTGAAAACACAACAATGAAACAGCTTTTCGAGCATCAGACTTAGCAATTGATTCAATATAATCTTTCCACTTCATGTCAGTAGAAAAAGTTAGCCTGAGAAGGCACAATATTTCAATTTCCTGGGGGTTAGCATGAATGGATAGCTGAAAATTACTATTGAAATTTCTAGATTTTACCATAAGATCTATGCTAGCAGTTTTTCCCTTGCTTAAAAAACTCTCTTCCAGTTTCTTGCTTTCTTGTTAACTACAATATTTTTTAAGTATTTCACCCCAAACAAGGCAATAAAGCCACTAAGACACAAGTGAAATGATTTAAAAAAAGAAGGGTTGTTATGAAATTGCACACATACACACATATATATGCGACAGGAAGAGAATCCTTGTTTTCTGAAAACTAAAATTGTATTTTAAAGCAATTATTTATCCTCCTTGCAAAAGATTTTTTTCCAGAAATGTTGAAGATGTTAAGTGTTCACAATGAAAAGTACAGTACTTCCTCTATTATCCAGACAACTTGGAACAGGGTTTGAAAAAATATGCTAGGATAATTAAAAATTCCAGATAATTGAATCAAAAAAGAATGAAGAAAAAAATAATTTTTCTGAAAGAAACAAAACATTTGCCTAAACAAATAAAGTTTTCAAATCTTTGGTTCAAAGGTTTTGTCCAGTTTATTTTTGATGAAAAAAATTCATCAGTTTTTGTCTCTCTCTGAGTGGCCTTGTGTTTATTCTGCCGCCAACTTCCAAATTTGGTTTAAAAAAGATTTATTTGTAAGGGTAGATTCTGGATGAATGCACAATCAACTTAAACATTTGTCAGTTTTTATCAAATGTTGGGTATGGTTTTCTAAATTCTCAAAACACTTGTCTGAGATGAAATATTAGAATGGGTTTAGTTTGGATAATTGAAAAATGTTCAGATAATTCAAATCTTTCACTCTTCATTTCACATCCAGATAATCAAGGAAGTACTCTATATGTGAAATTGATTGACTAGACTTTATAATAATTCATTTCTAAATAAGCTTTCTTTCAAATACCAGTTATTTTTCTTTATCTCATCCATAAGCCTGTATCTCCATGGGCATGTTCCTCTCTTTGGCTGTGGATATATAT